AGTTCTAACTGTATTACACTCTTGTCAGAATTCTGGTTCTCAGGTCAGACGATGCATCAGTAAGATCAGTCCGTTCCCATGAAAGTGGTAATGCAGTCACTGTCGAATTTATTCATTTGGATTATATTGAGTATTCGGATACATTCTCATTAGCTAATGCAAACAAAACTGTGAAATAAGTAGTCAAAGTTATAGAACGTTGACACGTTAGTCGATATGCTTAACTGAATAAACCTTGCTCAGGCAGTTTTAAGTAAGACAAGAGAAGGCTTATATAAGCACACTGCTTTTTTCGGGAAATGAGCTTGTCCTTCACCTACACTGCTGGCCATTAAAATTGCAACACCAGGAAGGAATGATGCGACGAACGGTAAAAGCACGTGAAAGGAAGAAGAGATTTGGTATGCAAATGGATTAGAATTTAAGCGCATGCAAGGAGGGAGAAAAGACATCTGACGTATTGCATAAAAAAGTTGTATAGTGGATTTCTCATTCGGAAACGCGCTTTGTACGGGCCAGAGTTTTCTCAGAATATCGTGTTATGCCTCAAATATTAAGACGAAATTTTTACCAGCAAGAGTCGGAAATCGATAGAGGCAGGATTGTTTCCCATAGAGAGTGTGGATTATCGTTCCGTGATATCGCCCGTCGCACTGGTCGACATCCAATCACTGTCATGCGAATATATAATCAATGGGTTGCTGAGGGTCATACTGAACGGCATGCAGGATCTCAACGCCGTCTCCTGACTAACGCTCGAGAGGACAGACATATTGTGAGGTTAGCCTTGAAAAAAAAACCGCACAAACACATAACGAACCATTAGTTAGGAAATGGGTATGTTTGATGTACGCCCAGTATCCGCTCGTACGGTGCATCGACATTTGCAGCAGAGCAGTGCTTAAATTGCACCGGAGCCCAGCTCTGGTACTTCTCAATTTTTCAAGATAAATTACAATTCTAGCCGGAGTGCACCGGAGCCCTAAATAAGAAGGCTGCGGCAATTCTTTTATATAACTGAATAACAATTTCCGTAGAAATTTTAACTCGAAAATTTTATTTTTAGCAATAAAATTATATTAAAAATCGCTTATGACATTTTAATTTGTTGCTTTACACATTTATTTTAGTTTTAATTATTTCAATAAATAATAATTAATTATCTAATAATTATCAATTAAATTATAATCAATTATATAATAATTGTTAATTGAATAAAATCTATAAACTTTAATTAAATAGCTATTAATTAATTTGATTATAATTAACTGTTTAATTTTAAAAATTATTAATGAGTTTAATAGTCATTTAATTTATTTATTTACTTTTATTGCTCTTTGCTGGCGGTCTTCCATAAGGCTCCGGCACTTATAATTTTAAAATTTAAGCCCTGCAGCGGAGTGAACTATCAACACGATGACCGCTACTTTGGCTTCCCTTGAAAATGCAGCATAGAGAGAGACGGTGATTCTGGTGCACCAAACGACAAAGCTGGATAAAAGAATGTCACAATGTTGTCTTTTCAGACATGTCCCTGTTCAGCGTGCGATATTCTGATGGCCGTATATGTGTCTGGAGGCAGCGAGGAGACTGCACGTCGTATGCCATACAGTTTACGTGCAATAAATATCTTTTTTGTATTTGCTTTTCTTCACGGTGTTGCTATTTTAATGGCCAACAGTGTACTACTGAAGTGTTCCTAACCGAAACATGTTTCGTTGAAAACTGCGTCTCGCCTAGCTAGCGAGATAATTTTATACTTAAATGAAAATGTTTCGTTTGAAGCACTGTTTCTCGTTTGATTTCTCCAAAGAACCGGTTTTCATATAAGTCAACTGATCAAACAAAAGATTATATATTCGACGTTGTATGCATAGACGTTCTTTCTGCACCTTCCCACGCATTGACTGTATTCTCAAATTGCACATTAATTCTTCTAACACTACATTTCCTGAATGTTTACGCCAGCCCAGAAATTTTACGAGTCATTCATTTTAAGTAATATAGTCTGCTTCTTATTCGATCTATTATTTTTCTTCCAGTCTTTTTTAAATTGCTAATTCTTCATCGATTTAATACATAGCACTGTTGATTTATGTCATAGTGAATGAACTTCATTGCGTTTTTCTGTGATTACATTTCGCTTATTTTGTGACATTGCATCCCCTTTTTTTTGCCAGAAACAATGAACTGTTTGTGTTTTCTGAAATATTAAATGCTAGATAATTCATTGCTATGCAGCAACTTGATCAATATGGTTCAGAACCGACTCACTTGTGCCAAGATTCGAATTTCAAATAAGCTATTTTTTACTGTTATGCTTAAGCACATTAAGGACACTTGAAATCTGTCAGTCCAAAAGTGCTCTGATGTGGATGATAGAAAGGAAACAAAAGGTGTAAACCACAGGAATCTGTCTTTTCGGGTTTTATGTATCGAATCTAAGAAATAATTACCTATACTGCTGCAACATAAACACCACAAGTAACAGGTATAAAGTTGCACTATTATGAATTATTCAAGATCTTTCCGCATGTAAAGACTCAGAATAAATTAACAACACACTTATTGATAATATAACAGACTTGCTTTTCCAGCAAATGATAATCTCCTTTTCATTGAGTTAGAATGTCATAGAATCAACAGTCCATGTTTAAAAGCATCTAGCTTATTTCCTGGTCTTAATCCTATATCAAGTACAGTTATACCTGACTTACACAACTTGAAGTTACATGTTTACTTAAATCATTTTTTAAACTCCAATATATGCATACAACCAATGATTGCATAAGAACTCTGATGGACAAGTGGTATAAGCAATGTACTAACTTACATTTCACAAAAATTTAGACCAGATTTTATGACAGCAATATAACTAAGAATGCTTTAGATGTATGGAAAAAATTGAATGTTGTAAAGAGCAAAATTATTTTGTTTCCCAGTTGCTTAATGATTTCACTCCTATATATACATATGCCAGTATTGGGCTCAAACACTACTCCTGCATATACATGCAGGAGTAATGTCTACATGAGAGTGGAGTAGGTCAAACACTACTCCTGCATGTATATTTAGTTTATTAAATGAAAACTTTAGTTATCTTCCCTTTTTTAAGTGTATTATGTAAATATAAATAAATATATATATATATTCAGAAACAGGTTTGAAACATATTCACATAGATTTTAGATTTTTTTATATGTACATATACAGTATTCTTTATTAGTTCAAAACTGAACTTCACAATATCATCTTCTAAGACAGAGGTTCCCAAACTTTTCCATGTCTAGCAGTTCTAAAAAATTATATTCTTGCAGCCCCTAACAAAGTTTCTAGGGAGGGTGAGGAAAAAGAAAACAGTTATGTAATCAAATTTTAATAATAAAAAATAAAAAAATGGAACTAAAAAAAATATTACAAAATTTAATATTTGCATAAATTTTTCAAAACAATAATTAATAACTATTTCTGTTCCTCTGTATTGGATATTTTTTTCAAATTGTGGCACTTTATTGTTAATAGCAATTCGCATATCTGCTTGAGCATCCAAGCGATTTCTGAATTTTGTTTTCGATTGACAAAAGAGCATACTTCACAAAGAATTCCTTCACATGCAGAAAGGCATCTTTTTCTTTTGTGATTGTTTTCATGTCTTCACAGAACAAGACATCTTCCATTATAGCAACACTATGCTGTAGCACCCAGACAGGATAGTAGTTAATGACGCTGCCTACCATACCAAAAGGTTCGAGTTCAAATCCCAAAGAAGGCATGGATGTTGTAATGTAAGTGTGTAATGGTTGTTTAGCAAGGAGCACTAAAAGCAGAAGGTGAGGCAAAATCCTTGAGAGGTTGGTGGTAGGAGACTTTCTGACCACATTCAGAGCATTCTTCTTCAAAATTCCATTTTGGTGGAAGCTTAGTACTTAGCAAGGCCAGCCTTAGCAAGTACTTAGCAAGGCCCAGCAAAGTACCCACTTAGATATACAGGTGCTGGTTTTCCTTCAATCTGTCAGGTACTAAAACAAGCTTATTTTTGTTGCCCATCAGTTATTATGAAGGGACAAACAAACATAAGCTTGATTTAGGTAATTCTGATTATAGATGCTAAAATATACATTATGAACATAAACTCTTTAGAACAAAACAATTTCAATAAATATCTATTTGATTTGAATGCATTCAAACATCATATATACTAATATTTTCAGATTTTTTACCATACAATGTTTACAAGAGAAGGATTCGGGAGACAATTACAAATTATTATTATTTTACAAATCTCTGAAAGCTTTTTATCAGTTTCAAAATTATTTGAATGAAACTATTTTGAATTTACTTAAAAAGTCATATTTTCATCCATTGACTGAGATGCTCACATGTATGTATTCTGACTCAACACAAATTCAAACATTAAAATAAAAATAACATCAGAAACATATATTATACAATTTAATTCAATCTAATACATTATTACTAGATGTAAATTAAAGAGTATATAAAATTTTAAAATACATATGCAAAATCTGATGTGCACATCACATTACTTATTAAATTATACAAAAACTGCAGATTTTGAAATTTAAAACACTGCTCAGTCTTTGTCACATGGGAGTCAAACTTCTCATAATTTTATTTTTTATAATGAGTATAAAAATGTCCCAGATATTTCTGCAGACATAAGGAAGCTGGAGATCGCATTAAAATAGATTTCGTTATTTGTCAAAAATAATTTTAAAAAAAAGTTTTACATCGCCAAAACACAACTATTTTCATCATTTAAAGCATTTCAATGATAATTGGGAGTATAGACTAGGGCCAATGATTGTGAAAATTAAGGCTAGGTAAAGGTGTGTGTGTGTATATATACACATTTGGTTCTGGCAATTACAATAAAAAGAGAGATGCACAACTATAGCAGTCCCATATACAACAAACATTCTACGGCTAATCTTTTTTAGTTATGTGAGATAAATACATATGTATGTACAGAACATCATTGAAAAAATTCCTTTTGGAAAAGAAGTCGTTTATTCTGTGCGTATATACAGATGTTATGCAAAATTATGCATGACTGTTTGCCAGGAAATGCTCCAACGGTTGAATGTTGATCTGAACCTTCTGGAGAAAAAGGTGACTGGTGATGAGACCTGGGTCTACGAGTACGATCCTGAGTCGAAGTATCAAAGCTCAAAATAACACACTGCTTCCTCTCCGAAGCCCAAGAAAGCTCGCATGAGCAAGTCGCGTGTGAAGTGCATGCTGATTGCTTTTTTAATTGTCAAGGAGTGATTCACAAGGGTTTGTTGCTTGTGGACAGACTGTCACAGGTGACTTTTATGTTGGAGTGCTCCGCCGCTTGAGGGATCGAGTCCGCCCGGCGTCTGGATTCTGCACCACGACAATGCACCCGCCGACGTTTGAGTCAAGTTCAATGTGATAACACTGACGCAGCCACCCTACAGTCCCGACTTGGCTCCAAGTGACTTTTTCCTCTTTTCCCGAATCAAGACAGTCCTAAAAGGAAAGCGATTCGACCCCATCCAACAGGCTTCGACGAGAGCCCTTGACAGCATGACACTCGAGGCCTTCCAGAAGGGCTACGAACAGTGGAAGGCACGCTGTGTTGATGCTGAAGTATTATATTTTGAAGAATTTTAGTCCGCTGTATTTAAATGTCCAATAAATTTCTATTTCAAGGTAAGTCTTTAAACTTTTGATTCACACCCTGTATAATGATTGCATTACATTAAGATATATATATATTTCTTACTTTGACCTAAGTGGGTCATCAGCAGAAAACTGAATATTGAACTGAGCTGCCCAATATTCAGCTGGGATCAATCCATTAAAATGGATTCCCATATGCCAGCTCTAACAACATTTTTCAGTCCCTTTTTCTGAAAATGTGTTTGGTTACTTGATAAAAGCTCTAATTTATTGTCCTTGGAAAGTTAGAAACAATATCTCACCTCAACTGACAACACTGTTCTATATTTTGAGTGAAACGTTTTCGCCCTACATGAATCCAACCATTAGGATCTGGATGAGCAGATTTCCTGAAAGGTGGAGGAAACATATCTTGTTTACCGTTGCACAAAAAGAAATTTACCAATTCTTTAATAATTCATGAAATCTCAATTCAATCTCAAAATTTCATGAAATCTCAAAATTACTAAAAAGGAATAACTGTTATGAAAAACGGATGCCGCATAGGGTACAAATGATTACGATTCACCACTAATGAATTATCATTTACCTCAAGAAAGAAGACAATTCAGAATTTTCCTTTAGGTTCTTTTGAGTAACAGCAGCAGATGAACACTGTTGAAATTCTCTGTTTAAAAAATTAATTTATATGCAATGAAGTATAATAAATATCAATTTAGAGCAAAGAGTTCATGAACAAAAATTTATAGATTCTGTAGTACTTCATGCATTTGCATAAAAAAGCTACCTTGTTTGAAGTTGCTGTTCAGTTTCTGAAGGAGCTTTCACATTCAACTGTGATGGCAGTTTCCTGTGGAATAAAATAATTATGATTACACTTTTCTGCATTATTTTGTAAAAAAAAAAAAACAATTTTAGAGCATCAAAGCTAAAGTCAAGCTGTAAAATGCACTGCAAACTATCCTGTATGCTGTTTTTTCCTTTTATTCTGTAGCTTATATATGTTACTGTTTAAATACTATTTTTCCATAAGCAATTTATTAAATAGAACAGCCACACAGTTTCTGAGGTAAGTTTGACAGCTATGCAAAAATTAAGGCCATGGGGGGATGCGTTTTCTCCCCTCAGCAGTGATGATTCATTAGAAGATGCTCTCCTCTGCAGTGACTTTAGGCAATATTTTCAGCAATCAGAAGATTAACTGCCTAGTAGGCTGTATTATTTTCTTAACAAATATTAAATGAGCAGCTGGTAAGTTATAAAATATATATACATAAACACTAACAATAATGCATATAGTTAATAAACTCAGCCATTTATGACGTTCAGATTTTCAGAAACCAGAAGAAATACATACTAATCACTAGCAAAAATGCCATTTATTAAATTAAGACTGGCAAAGGACTGATTCTTTTGTACCAAAATATCCTACATGTACATATAAAAATTCTCTGTACTTCATCATTCACTTTCAAATTTGCCGTTATCTTAATAGATGCGTCATTTGCAGCATGTTAGAATCATAGGACAAGGACTGATTTCAAAGTGATGCACTTTAAAAAGATTTATTATAAACACACACAAATATTTATCTGATTGTAATTCTTTGTGCATGAAAGTGATCTGTAGTCACAAGGTTAATGTCTTTTAAACAGCTACAGTTTGAAACAAATTGATGTTTATCACCTGTGTAATCCCAACAGAACATATAAGACAAATAAAATTTACTTGCCTAATTTTTTATTGTGAATGGAAAAATTACTTATTTTCCAAGAAAATATCTCAAGCTTGCCACAGAAATAAAGAATTTATTTCAGAGTTTGGCAAAGTGAAATTTAAAAGTGTGTTTATTATCAAGTAGATTACATGCAAATGTGATTTCTTGCATTGTAGCCTTGAAATAACATGGGAATGGATAGCAAGTTAAACTTTTTTTGCGTGAAACAGAACTTTGCACTGAGTATCTCTAACCATATTTCTACAAACAGAAATAATTTTGCAGTTGAATATGGATTTTTTTTTTCTAGTGTTTGAACTTGCATGAGAATAGTTGTGTCATCAAAAAAGAAAATTTGAATTTTACAGTGTTGGGAAGAATAATAAGCACATATATAATAAAATAAGGAACTCAGTCTTGGGCCTCTTGTTCTGTAATCTGCCTCTGCACTGAAATGATCCATGACAGATAAAAATTCCTCATTAAAGAAGCCACTACATAAGCCTTTGAGAACATTAGAAATTTGAATGTTATTGACTGGGCGATTACGTTCTCCAGCTGTCACAACTAAATGCAATAGCTGCTTTATCAAGGAAGCATTAAGTTTTTTCAAGAAAACAATATACAATTTGTATTCTTAGGCACTGAATTTTACTTGTCAAATTTCATTACTTTAAAAAGAAAAATGAATAAAGATTTTGATAGTTCAACAGTTGCTTAGTATGATTCAGAAATTCATAGCTTGGCTGACAAACAGATTGCTTAAATATTTAATGCCTTGCTGTAAAAATATTTCTTTGTGTTTGAATTTCGAAGAAGGAAAGAAATTATATATATATATATATATATACATACCTCGACAGAGCTGATTCAGCAACAACTTCAGAATACAGAGGAGAGGCTGAAGATGTTAAAATATCGCTGCCGCCATCACAGAGAGGAGGAAAATCCAATGAACTTCGAAGCTCTATTTTACTGGTACTTTTGGAACTCTCAGTTAAAAGTTGCGTCAAAACTTGAACAAACAGTGTAGCTAACTGCCGTGTTCCTGCTGCATTCAAATGCAGCCCATCCAGAGCCATGCATCCACTCCAGTCACGAGATGACATGCAGAAGGTTACATTATCCAGCTCTTCACAGAGATCAATCATTTTTTCATCAAACTGAGAACTCTTGTTGTTGACAGAGCGCAGTCGAGGTCGCAATTCGTCTCTCTCATTATAAGTTAAATACTTCGAATCCACTCTGGGCAAAATTCCTGATATGACTACCCGCGCATACGGATTCACTCTACTCACTTCCCGAATTAAACTTTTATATTTTAAGACACTGTCATCCACAGTAGAATCCATATTATTGGTCCCTACATGAAAAAGGATACAATCGTATTCATTAAAGGATGAAATTTTTTTGGTCAACCTTTCTATTGTTATGCCCGGAAACGCGAGAGCATGCAGTTTATTATCATACAGCTGAGACGGTAAATATTGGTACATATATTTAATCATGGAATCACCGGTTATCAGAACCTTCATAGTCGATTACAAGTTATAAAAACTTCAAAATTACAAGCCCGTTACAACACGCAGAACGACCTAATATTAACAATACTACTACGAACAACGACATATTGAACAAAAGCTTGGCTACTTTTGAATAATGCACTTGGCTCTAAAATTTATTCTGGTAACCTTACATTGCATCAGCGATTTCCAAAGGCATCATGGGAAAAAGTACACATTTTTCGGTAAACTTCCGGTATCAGGGACTCAGTTATCTGTAAAATTCATATAGAAAGAGGGCAATTTCGTATTTGAGGAGAGTAAAAAGGAACTTCGTACATTTTGTACGAGTTCAAAAAGCCAGAAAGAAAAGATGGGACAAAATAAAATTTAAATTAAATGGCCCAAAAATAATAGAGGGGGAAAAAAGGGCCTATAGAAGGAAAAGGAAAAGAAGTAGAAAATACCCTAAAATACGATTGTGTCCATGAGTGTAGTTAAGGAGTTCATCTGCAAAAATTCGTGTCTTTAAGAAGCAAACTTTAGCTAAGTTAAAAAAAAAAATAAATGAATGAATGAATGAATTCCTACATGGTAATGTGTATGCCGTTATCTTGAGACCTAACAAGAAAAGACATATATCATCACAGAGATGTACATAATATTTTAACTAAAGTAACATTAAATATTACCGTTCCCAAAAAATTCATGTATATTTCATAAAAACAGTAATTGACAAAATCATAAATCCATACACAGTGTGAGAGCATTTCAGCAAAAATAAATTACACAGTTTATTTTTCTTAAATATTAGTTAAATATAAAATTAATTTATTAATTTAACCATTGTAATTTATTATAGTACAACTTTAACAAGTTCC